GAGTGTCTTGAGCCATAAGTAATGTCCCCAGATTCAAAGGCTGGTCCTGGTTCTAGCAGGTCCTAGCTGTGTGGCTTGAGACACTTCACCTGTTTGAGACTTGGTTTGTTCATCGTTAAGTTTTGTGTGCTTTGATATAAACCAGACAAGGTTGTGAAAATTAAGTTAAACATGGTGCACCTCTCCTGCATGCCATACCCTCATGTTTATGTAAATTAAAACACCTTTTTTGGAATGTGGGGGGCTCAAATAATCTCTCAGCCAATCCAACTATTAGTGTTTGTTTTTACTCCAGTATCCAATACAATGCACTCCAGATTGTGGGTAATTTGGATAAGTTGGATAAATGAATCAATGTTAAAGCAATAAAACAGAAGTTATGTTAAGGGACTGTTATAATCATTGCCTACTTTCTTAGACCAATACAGTGTTTGCACTGTGGATTCAGTTGCAAAGTATTGCATGAGAGAGAGGGCTTTTAGTTAAGGAGAATCATTTAAAATGTTATGAACTAGAAGAGACTATATTTTTCCATCCTTCTAAAAAAGTGGAGGTCACTCCCTGAGGGACAAACATGACTTACCCCTGGGACTACCACTTTTGGAGCTCAACTCTGTTTAGTTGTTTATTTGAACAGTCTTATCCCCTTTCTACCCTCTCCCATTACATTTTCTTATTTATTTATTTTTATTTATTACATAGATGACAATAGTGGAGTGAATTACATTCATAATTATCCATTTACAGCACAATTTTTCATAATTCTGTATCCCATTACATTTTCTACTTCCTATATAACTGGACTAACAATATCCTCAACATGATTCAGTGTCCTTGTCCTGTTTATCTTTTGGTGTTGAATAGTTTCTGGTACAGATTAGATGATCAGAGCAGATTTGTTGCATGGTAGGATGAATAATTGTTCTCTCTCTGTTCCCTTCTCCTCTTCAACCTCTGTCAGTTTTGTCCTGCTTTTATTTATTTTTGGCTATTTAAAAAACCATTGGGTCTCAGATGCAGAATTGGATTAAGAATGTCATAGCTCTCAGGTTATGACATGCTCCTAATGTTGGTTTTTGCATGGCCTGCTCATATATATGGTGTGTCTTTTAAATAGTACAATAAGCATCCATGAACCACTACCAAAACCAAAACCAAAACCAGAGCCTTGATGTTAACCTATGCCTAAGAATATAAAATTCCCCCCATTCTCTCTGCTTCTTACAATCACGAATCTTTAATCATTCCTTTGCTTTCTTTTTTATATAGTTTTAAAAATCATATCTGTAAGTATTTCTTTAAATGTAAGTGCTTTTCATTTTGGTTGCTTTTAGCTTTATAAAAAGTATACCATGCTCTTTTTCACTTAAGTTATTGCTGATGCTGACGAATATGTGCAAGAATTTGTTTGGGGTTGAATTTCTGAATTTAGGAAATTGTGAATTTTTGATGTTAGGAGTAATACCAAAACATTTCTCAAAGTTTTATACCAATTACTTTCCTACTATGAATTTTCTAATATGCATAATCACCAAACTTTAAATCTAGGCCTAATGAATGGGTATAAAATAGTATTGCACTGGAGCCCTAATGATGCTCATGGTAAACATATCTCCAAATATTTATTGCCTCTTCTGTGAAATGTCTATTCTTCTTTTGGATCATTTTCTTTTTTTTTTTTTTTAATTTTTTTTATTGGTTGTTAAAAACATTATAAAGCTCTTGACATATCATATTTCATACATTAGATTCAAGTTGGTTATGAACTCCCAATTTTACCCCAAATACAGATTGCAGAATCACATCAGTTACACACCCACGTTTTTACATATTGCCATACTAGTGACTGTTGCATTCTGCTACCTTTCCTATCCTCTACCATCCCCCCTCCCTCCCCTCCCATCTTCTCTCTCTACCCCATCCACTGTAATTCGTATCTCTCCTTGTTTATTTTCCCATTCCCCTCACAACCTCTTATATGTAATTTTGTATAACAATGAGGGTCTCCCTCCATTACCATGCAATTTCCCTTTTCTCTCCCTTTCCATCCCACCTCATCTATCTGTTTAATGTTAATCTTTTCTTCCTGCTCTTCCTCCCTGCTCTGTTCGTAGTTGCTCTCATTATATCAAAGAAGACATTTGGTATTTGTTTTTTAGGGATTGGCTAGCTTCACTAAGCATAATCTGCTCTAGTGCCATCCATTTCCCTGCAAATTCTATGATTTTGTCATTTTTTAGTGCTGCGTAATACTCCATGGTGTATAAATGCCACATTTTTTTTTATCCATTCATCTATTGAAGGGCATCTGGGTTGGTTCCACAGTCTAGCAATTGTGAATTGTGCTGCTATGAACATCGATGTAGCAGTATCCCTGTAGTACGCTCTTTTAAGGTCTTCGGGGAAAAGTCCAAGAAGGGCAATAGCTGGGTCAAATGGTGGTTTTTGGATCATTTTCTGATTGAACTGTTTACCGTTCTCTATTTTAAAGAGTTTGGTGTATACTTCTGATGAGAATTCTTTGTTGATTTCATGTTCCCTGTTCAAATTTTGGTTCTTCGAAGTATTAAAAACCACCCCAAAACTTAGAGGCTAAAACAATAAAGGTTTTCCTCTCCACAAGTCTGTGGATTGACTGGGCTCAGCTGGATGGTTCTTCTGCTGCATGTAGTATCAGGTGGGGTAACTCATTCGTTATGTTCAGCCAGTGGCTGGGGTGGACTGAAAGGTCCAAGATGTGTCAGGTGTCTCTGTGCTCTTCCATTTGTCCTCTCTAGTGGGGTACGACTGGTTTTTGTTACTGCTTAGTGACTCAGGGGTAGTTGGTTGTCTCACCCAGAGGCTAGCTCCTGAGACGAAAGAAGCAGAACCTACCATTCCTCATAAGGCCTATGCATGGATGTCCCAGAATAACACTTCTGCTAAAAGAAAGTAAATAACAAAGTCAATCTGGACTCAAGAGGAGAGAGTACCCTCCAGGGAAAATAGCCTTTTATCTTTTTGTAGTTGAAGTAGCCACCATATACAGAGAGAAAAGGAATTGCTAAGACATTGATTGGAACCACCATGGGGGATTATTGACCACGTGTATAGTGTGAATCTCTTCTCTTGTAACTTTTCACTTCTCTAAAGTACCTTCAATGAACCAAAATTCTTATTTTTAATATAGTCAATTTTATCTATGTATTCTTTTGTGTCTGAAGAAAACATCCGTTGCTCTAAGTTCTCAAGGATATTCATGATTTCCACTAAGAGAATTTAATGTTTTATTTTTGACATTTGAGTTTTTAGTGCATCTGAAGTTGCTTTATGTTTGTGACTTGGGTAGAGATCCAATTTATTAGATCTAGAAGGAATATCTGTGGGATAGAGAATATCCTTCCTTCTCCCAACAATTCTTGTTTTTGCTCATTTTTTAATATGCTAAGATTTCTTAAGTGCAATGGATTGTTTTCTGGTGCTCTGTTCTATCCCAAAGTTCTATTTTCTTATCTTTCCTTCCTTAATTACAATAGCTTCATAATAAGCCCTGATACCTTGAAGGGAAAATGTCTTACTCTCTCTCTGGACTCTCTTTTCAGCAATATGTGAACTTTTCTGGGTTCTTCACAGTTATATATACATTTTATAATTATCTTACTGTGTTTCAAGAAAATTCTTATTGAGGGTTTCATCAGAATAATATTGACTCTATAGATCAACTTGGGAAACATTTTTATTATGTTCCTTTTGAAGAAAATCTTTCCATTTATGTAGATTTTGAAAATTCTCTTAATTGAATTTATTTTATGTTTGATAAATTTCTTCTGAGGTAATTGATATTCTCTGAGACAATAGGAAATGGTGTTTTTTCCTTTAATTTTCTGGTTCTTTGTTGCTATTATGCAGCACATTCTAGAGCAGGCTGTGAATTTAAGTTTGTTTCTCTGTCTTCTACGTGGGAGCAGAGTAGTTCAGTATGTGGAATCCTACCTTGGCTAAGCATGGTCCTTTGACCCAGTTAAAGTATATTCAACCTAGAAGAGAGGCCTTAGTTCAGCTTTTTTTCCTTATTGGTGCATCGTAATTAATACATAACAGTATGATTTGTTGTTAGGTTCAGTTTTTTAGATGGTAATTGGTAATAAAATTCCTGCAAAAACAAACAACAACAAAAGAAAAAAAGCCAGAATCAATATAATCTGTCTACAAAAAACAAAAAAGAAAGAAAGAAAGAAAGAAAGGAAGAAAGAAAGAGTAATTTTGTTAGGAGTTAGAGTTTATAATACCAAACAGACATTGCTCAAAGAAAAATAGGTTCCAATTTACCCATTGAATGAATTGCTGACTTCTCAACTCTGTTCTTCACAGCCATCCGCCTCTCCCCATTGAACTGTCAAGCCTTGGACCAGCTGACCTCTGTGCCTTTGCTCAGGCTGTTTCCTCCACATGGAACACTTTCACTCTTTGATGCTCACTGTCACTTTCCAAAACCCTTCCTATCTTCCCAGACAGCTTAAGCACTATCTCTTCCACCCTGGGATATCTGTAGCCCTTGACCCCAACACTCTGTACTCTGCAGAGACACTTGCCATCCCCACTTCCCTAATGGTTATTTATATACTTAATACCTCTACTGGGACCATGCACAGTGATCCGCTTTGTAACTCTGCCTCATACAGAATTGCAAAGAGTAGGATTTAAAGAGTGAAATGAATTTGTTGAAGTGGAAACATCTTTGCATTCCAGATACAGCAGGTTCTTCTTAAATTACTGTGGGGGGCAAGAAAAACATAACCGTAAAGGTTGCAAGATAAATATAATTTATATCCTAGATGATGGCCAGGTGACATGATTTAAGATTAAATAAAAGAGGAAGATTTCACCAAGAACATATTATGATAAATTCCAACAGCTGACATCAATAAGCTGTATGGAATAATCTTTGTTTAGTTAACTTTTGCTAAATTGGTAAGAAAAAAATTGCTTGAAAGTTTAAAAAGGAGTGTTTTGTTTTTCAGGGTCAGTTTTGTGACTATTGTAATTCTGAAGATTCTAGAAGAGCACATCCGGCCACCAATGCAATTGATGGATCCGAACGTTGGTGGCAAAGCCCTCCTCTGTCCTCAGGCACACAGTACAACAAAGTCAACCTCACCCTGGATCTGGGTCAGGTGAGTTTTGCTTTCGATTGAACAGAAATATTAGTTTGATCACTGTTTTTGTGGTGATTTCTGACATAACAATAATTATCATAAGAAATGAACTTCAGTTTTAATTCACTAATCATTATTAAACCTTTGACTTTAATATTTGCTTATAAATAAAGTTGTACAATATTTTTTGTGACTGGCTTATTCCACTTTTCCTAATCTTTCAAGTTTCATCCATGTAGAAGCCTGTGTCAGAATTTCCCCTGTTTCTAAGGCCAAATAGCATTCTATTCTATGTATAGATCACATTTTGTTTATCCATTCATCCATTGATGGACACTTGGATTGCTTCCAATTTTTGACTATTGTGAGTAATGCTGCTATGAACATGGGTGTGGCAGAGATATTTTTATAACGTTTTCTTTCCTGGAAATCCTGGCGACGTGAACACTGACTACCATAGTTTAGGACTTTGGCCAGCTGGCCCATAAGGGAACCAGGCTTCAGGCCTGTCTTCCTCTAATAAGCTAAGAAGGTCTTCAGGATGGCTGCCCCTGGTGCATTCAACCAGGATAATCAATCCCTTCTGCTTTGATTGTGGATTCTACTCTTGTGATTAGAGGCATTTTGTGGCCAAGATGAAGAGATTTTGTGGATTCATTTAAAACCCAAGTCAGTTGATCAAAAAGGGGATTTTCTTGGGTGGATCTTTCTGATTAGGGGAATTCTAAGAAGGGACTGGGCCCTTCCTGCAGGAAGAGATTTGACCCATGGTGTAAAAGTCTTCTGCTAGTCTTGAAGGGCCAAGATGTCATGTTGTGAACTTACCACAGAGACACTATGTGGTAAAGACCTTATGGTGGCCCCTAGCCAACCACCAGTAAGGAAATAGGGACCTCAGTCCTCTAACCACAAGGAACTGAATTCTTCCAATATCATGTGGAAACTTAGAAGCAAGTCATTCCAGGCACCTTATTGCAGCCTTGACCTTGAGTAAAACCTTGAGTGAAGAATCCAGTCATGCATGAATCTTAACCTGACAAACAGTGAGATAATACATATGTGTTGTTTAGCCATTAAGTTTGTGGTAATTCCACTGTGTATCAGTGGAAAACTTCTTGCACCTTCTTATTTCCTCTTTCAGACCTGGGAGCACCTCCCATTTGTTTCATCCTATCCTTTCAACAATTATTTAAGTTCTTTTATGTCCCAGGCAATGTTATAGGCATTTGATTTTATCAGGAAACAAGAGATGGAAATTCCTTCCCTCATGGCACTTATATTCCAGTAGGGGGCAGTCAATAAAAATATACAAAATATTTTTAAACATCTTTGAGGCAGTGGTACATTTTTTTTTTTTTGGTACTGGCAATTGAAGTCGGGGGCACTCAACCATTGAGCCACATCTCCAGCCCTTTTTTGTATTTTATTTAGAGACATGGTCTCCCTGAGTTGTTTAGGGACTCACCATTGCTGAGGCTGGCTTGAACTAGTGATCCTCCTGCCTCAGCCTCCTGAGCTGCTACAATTACAGGCATGTACCACCATGCCCAGCTGGTAATTTTTATTTAATAAAATAAAGTGAACTTCAACGAACACTTATTTTTAAAAAGAACAGACTAAACTTTTGTGCCTCCAGAAAATACTATATATAATACAATGGAAAATTCTCTAAAAAAGTTTAGGAACAGGAAAAGCAATGCCAATTAAGTCAGACTGAAGGACATCTTTTCCTTCTTTATGTTGAAGCAATATGTATTTCAACAAACATGTTTTGTCTTGTAAGATTCATATTTTATGCCCCAATTGGTAAGGTCTGTTTTCTGCCTTGTGCTGGAATTTACCATGAGAATGTTATTGTGAGGCTAGATTTCATGATTTCAGAAGAACATTAAGACCTAGACCTAGGAAGTGTGCATTTTGATGCATGGTTGGGAAGTAAAATATAGATCATTAACTTCTGATGACTAAGTCACTTTTCTTCACCTATTGAGAATTAAATTGGACTTTGACATGCGTAGTCCATTTGTCAGCTTATGTTGTTGCTAAAGGTCAGTTTTATTTGTTTTCTTTTGAACTTGGTAGTTTTCATTGTTAGTTTTCTAAAACATCATCTTCAGAACTCAATCCTAAAGGGCAGTTTTGCCTTCACAAGGTGGCATGTGTGGAATAGTTCTGTGACTCAGTAAAGCCATTGTGTTTTCTGGGGTTGTTCACTTTCATATGGTGGCATATTGTTCATTAGTTTCAGGATGTACAATAAGAACACAATGTCTTGCTGGGCACGGTGATGCACACCTGTCATCCCAGTGGCTCAGGAGGCTGAGTCAGGAGGATTGTGAGTTCAAAGCCAGCCTCAGCAACTTAGCAAGACTCTGTCCTAGATAAAATATAGAAAAGGGCTGAGGATGTGACTCAGTGGTGAAGCGACCTTGGGATCAATCCCTGGTACAAAAAGGAAAAGAGAGAGAGAGAGAGAAAGAAAGAAAACAAAGTCTAAAAGGAAGCTTTCATATTATTTGGCCAAATAGAATGAGCTCATTGTTTACATGTAGAGTGAAATGTAGATGTCTAGTTGTTAAAAGCAGAGTCTGGAATACAGGGACATTTGTTTCTTCCTGGACTCCTGGTAGCACATGACCCAGTGAGATAGAAGGTGGAGTGACAGAATTAGATACACATCCTGGACTTCCTTCAGAATCCAAGTGATACCCTGTGGATCCCCTATATGCACTTTCCTGCTCCCTCTCCCAGGTAAGGTCTAAGGTCTACCTCCTGGTAGAGGTAGTTATGGGGGCTCCTCATGATACCCTGAAGTCAAGAGGGCTTGGAGGTTGAGAAGAGCTGTCCCTAGGGTAGGAATGAAGAGGGGAACTAGCACAGGAGCAAGACAGGAGCCATGGCAGAGCAGGCCCGGCTTGTTGTCCAGTGAACGAGAAGATCACCTGGAGAATTCCAAGGCTTTCATGCAACTTGTAATGTCTTTTAAGAATATGACTTGTAAGCTGTTAGTAGTAAAAACATACAAAGACAAAACCAACACCCTGTCCAAAAACCTCGAAAGGACTGGTGTTTGCTTCATAGGTTAGTGGTATGAAGAGAGAGGACCTGTCTTACATGGCTGCTGGGGAAGGAGGCCTGTCTGCCTGGGACAGGTGGTGACTGAAGGAAGTAGCAGCTGAGACAGTCTTTTAGGCCTTGTAGAGCAGAGGCCTCGATGCCCACAGCCCCCTGATCTTCCTCTGAGTGGCAGTGATGGATTGTTCCTCTCCCATCTCACCCCAGGTACTCACCCATCTTGAAGGCCTGCCTGATTCCCTACTTCCTGCCTCAAGGCTCTTTCTGGGGCCTGGGAGCTTTTTAAAGGTATATATAGAACACCTTGGAAAATATCTGCATTTTATGCCCCAGAAACAAATTTCATCCCACCAGGAATGGGAATTGGTGGAAAATACCCCCATTTTCCTTTCTGAAGGGCATTCTACATAATTTGTAATTCAGAGTGTCACTAGTGAAATGAAGCTTTGGTAGTCCTGGTAGTAATTGTCTGATTAATACATCACTCATTGGCCTTTCCCTGTCTTTTATGTCCCTCACTCCCAATTTATGCTTCTCGAGGTCAACTCCTAAATAAACTACCTGCACACAAATCTTTGTCCTGTGGCTTTAGAGAGGACCCAAAGTAAGTCCGAAGAAAGGGGCTTGTGTGTACAAGCCAACATTATGACAAAGTTATTTAGAATGCAATGGATAGAAAATTCAAAAAGTATTCATAAATCTCTAAGATTAACAGTAATAAAAGAGGGCTGACACTGTGGCTCAGTGGTAGAGCACTTATCTCATATGCATGAGGCCCTGGGTTTGATCCTCAGCACCACATTAAAAAAGAAAAATAAACAAATAAAGACTTTGTGTCCATCTACAACTAAAAAATTAAAAAAAGAGTGATGAAAGAAATAACATTATAACTTTAAAAAAATCGGCCACAGGAAAAAATTCTATTATTCTACCTTTTATTATTTTTTTTTCATGAATTTACCTTGAGCCACCCAGGGGCCAGATGTAAATCACAGGATCCAACCATCTGAGAGTGAATTTAATATGTGTAGATGCCATCTAAGGTTTTCTTTTCTTTTTGGTCTTTTTCAACATTTATGAGACTCTGGTAGATGAATCAAAAACATTCTTTGTGGACCTCATCAGTTGTTCTGGCTCAGAGATGGAGGGAGGTCTGGGCTAGTTTCTGATTCTTCTTGGACTTGAGGACTTTGGAGATTAAATTGTTTGGTAGATGAGGTCACTAAGAATCTGACTCAGCTGAGACCTTGGGTAGATAGGGTCCAATCCAGAAGGTGGATGACTTTTGGCTTGTCATGACCCAATCTTTCTGGATTACTCTGGAATTGCCTAGACTACAAGCTTCAGGAGGCCAGGGACCATGTCTTCTGTTCTCACTACTTCTTTGGCTCCCAACATCTTGCACAGTGCTTAGCATATGGTAGATGCTCAATAACTATTTACTGAGCTAATGTACAATGAACCAAGGGTAACTGAATTATCTGCAGTTCTCCCAGGGTACAGTGGCAATGAAAGCATATTGCCATGAGACCAAATCTCTTGATGGAACTGGGCTAATTATACTTGTGTCTTTTGCAACACCTTCTAAGTATTTTGTAGCTATAACAAGATTAGAGGATATTGAAGACAAATTATTTACTAATAAGTATGCTATTAATGAGCATAATCATGAGACTTTACCCATGGAAGCAAAAAAATTTGTTAATTGGTAGAAAATCGGGTGCCAGTAAAATCTCCTGGGCCATTGTGTGACGGAGGGGGTGGTGCCGTTTTATCTTTTATGATCCTGTAGTAATCTGAACATGTTAACTTGAAGCATCCTTGAAGTAATTTATGCATTAGGAAGAATCTGTTAATATGGCATTTTCTCTTTATACTTAAAGCTGATTAGATCCAGAGGAACAAATTGGAACTTCTGAGATGTTAAATTTATTTCTCTCAAT